AAATGTTCAATTTATTAAAACAAAACACATTTTTCTGTGATGAACTGCAAAAGGGCAAGACGGCAAACTTCTATAATTAAAATCAGAGCTCTTCTCTGGCAGATATCGGTTTTAGTGCAGCTTAGTTTGCTGAAACTTATCACCGAGTCTCACTCTCTCAAAAGCAATCAGATTTTCACAAATGGATTGGGCTTTTTATTTGATAATTTCAATATTGCAATTTAATGTTGCCACTCCAGTGGCTTGCAATTTGATGTAAAGATGCAAGGTTGTAAACAGCTTTCAATAATTAGTTTCCAGGACCAATGGAAATTGTGCCTATAACAGAAGACCTGGAAGGGAAGTTAGAACATTCAGCAAACCAAGGCAACCACTTCTTTGCTGGTGATACTTGTTGTAATTGTTATGTATATACTGTGTGTTTAGCAAGGTGTTAGTTGTGTCCCTTCATAGGCTACAGTAGGCAAATAATCTCTTTTGAAGAGAAAAACCTGCCCACAGCAGAGAGGTTGGAATTAGATGACTTCAGGTTCCTTCCAAACCAAGCCATTCTGTGATTCTGTGAAACAGGCCTCCACATAAGCATGAATTCCCCATGGCAAGGTAATGGTACAATGCACAAGTAACAGAGAGTAATGGAGCAGGACTGTGTCTGTGATCACAAGACGCATGCACACTCAGTCATGAAACGGAACACGTGCTAGCAGGAACATGATATTGTAATCTAAATGCAGACACTGCTCATCCCATCTCAGGTGGACGTACTGCTTGGTGCACTGTGTGATGCATCACTCAAACCCTCTCCTGCCATACAGCCCAACAAGCCTCACAGGAGGCAGCACAGCTGCACTTTAGTTACAACAATGACATACTTCTGGTGATCTCTGGAAAGACCAGCTGCGGGCTCTTCAAAGGGCAAATAAGGAGTCAATCCTGGGTATACCTGCACAGGGGAGCCAGCACACAAAGAGGGTTGGAATTCAGATTCTTTTATTTTTCCTGCAGAATCGCCTAGGATCTATAATTTAGACACAAAACTTTAATTCTGCCTCTTCTATAATCTGATTTACTTTATGCTTCATGTGTAAAATACACTACCCACAACCAGACTAAGCCAGAGCATTAAGCCCTGAGCTGTTTTCATGTCCTTGAGTAAAAGTATGAGTATGCCCAGACAGAAGGAGCCAGGAGAAAACAGCCAGCTCCTCACCTGTCTGCAGATACTGTACCAAAGCAGAAATGAAACAAGATGGTACAGGATGCACGAAATGTGCAACTGAAGCAAAGAATGATTGCAGCCTTTTTGAGTCTTCATCCCATCTCAATTCACAATCCCTTTTCTTTTTGAAAAATTGAGGAGACATGCACTGTGTTAAAGGACATACTAACAAGAACAACAAAAAAACTGCTGCTGAAGGAGAGCATTTTCTGAAACAACTTTCACTAAGACCACTCCTTGGTCTTTTAGTTCAGAGCCCCATCACCTTGTTTCCTTCACAAACAAGAACTTTCTAAGAAAGCTGCAGCACTGCAGTGGCCAAGAGAGAAGTCTGGAAGAACTCACACATTTCATATAGTTAGACATAGTTAATTCATGCTGAATTATCTTCACTGCATAAATGCCTGTGCAAACGACAAACTTTAATAGGCCTTCAAAGCTGACACACTATTTATCACTGATTACATTTTTAAAATCAAAGTAACTATGCCTTTAACAGACATGTTTAGATTAAGACTGACACTAACTCAGTATATCAGCTTAAGTCACTTGCAATTATGCAGGTGCTTGGGCAGCCTGCATTTCTGTCAGTTAAAGCTAAATTGAGGCAGAGAGCCCATATCTGCACTGAATAACGAAGCCCTTGTCCCAGGGGACAAATACTGCTTCTCAAATGTAGAATATTCCCAAAGTTTTCCTCTCTGCACTGTAACTGTGTGATCTCTTCTTGCTGCAAAAAGGTTGTCACAGTAATAGTGTAAGCATAAAATCTTGCTGAGAGTTTGTATAATAGCTAACATGCCCAGGAGGTCCAATAAAGCTTTGTGAAAAACTTCAGTTATACACATATGATTTCAGAGGTGTATCAATATTGTTTTAATGTAATTTTATATATATCTACATATAATCACTATGCAAGGGTTGACGCATGTCCATAATGAATTGTACTTTTTGTACATAGCTGGCTACCATTAAAACAAAAAAGTTATCTTGATGAGTGATGAAAGAAGAAAGAAAATATTATTGTACAAAGGAGTTCATGTTATTTGCTGCACCTCACTAATATTTCAGTTTTTGAAGCACTCCAAATACACAGAGAAGTTATCAGGAATTTTTTTTCCTGCTTTGTAAGAGTTTTACAGCATTTGATCAAACCTGCTGAAGTAAATTAGATGGCATTTCATGAGCAGCCAACTAAAAATGCTGAAGGCACAAAGGAGTTTTGATATCCGGGAAATCACAATTAATTTCAACTATATAAAATGGAATAGGAGGCTGCACGAATCATTTGTTATTTGTCACCTGTTTCATTTGATTAGAAACGTATGGTATTTATCAGTCCGTAGAGTGGAAATAGAATTTGTTGTAAATGATAAAGAATGTAAAAAGATTACAGGTATAATATACATACATCCTTCTTATCAAAGGGTACGATAGCTCTCACTTGGGCAGACTACCAAGTCTCTATATTATACTGATTTTTATTGTTCGGTGAGAAAATTTCTAGGTTAAACAGAAGTTAAAAGCTAAAACGTACTACAGACATTTATTTGACAATACAATACAGCACCCAAGAATAAGAAAATAAATTCTAAATACAACTCCACTGATAAGGAATTCATTTAAAGGAAGTTCTTTCTGAAATTGAACCCTTGTTTCCCACTTAAAGCTGATAATTTGCCAGTCAGTATCCAACAGACCAAGATGACTGCAGCTTTCCTCACCTAGACAGAAATTCTAGAAGAAAACCACCACTCACCTCATATCTACCAAAACAGTAATCAAAAAGGACAGAAAAAAAAAATTCTATGCATGGAACAGGAGCTGTTTTTGCCCATATAGGAAAAGGCAGAATTTAAATCTGCGATATTGTACAAATACTGACTGGACTATCCATTCAGTTATGTGCTGTAGACAGTTTTTTTTTCTCTCCTTTCACTGCAACTTAGCTTGGACTTATTCAATGTTTTTTTGTTTGTTTGCTTGAATGTGACCAGTCAAGAGAAGGTACTCATCAGAAAATCAAACAAACTTCTGACTCAAAGCATTTGTATAATAAAAACACGACACCACTTGCTCACACTTTTCCCTAGATGAACACTGTGAACTACCTTTAAATACACATATATACAGTCCCTTATTACAAGAGAGGCAGCAGTAAGATAGGCAGGGTGGAAGGATAGATGTTCTAACAGACTAGGCTACATCCTGGCACAAGCAAAACTTGTCAAAAACCAAACTGAATCAATAAAAAACAAAGTAATAAAAAGAAATATAATTTTTAAAGTGCCGATATTAATGAAATCATAATTAAAATTACTAATGGAATGGGTCTCATATTTTCATTTAATTTTAGTATGTCATTTATAGGCAGCCTTCAGACTCTACAGTGCACAGATGGAGGACCAACTTCACTAAGTATTTTACTAGAATCACACATTTTATTAATTGTGGATCTTGCAGTAATATCTAATCATGTAAAGTAAGATTAAAGATTCCGACACTCACTTCACAGGAACTAGCAAACAGCAATTCCCTCCTTTTTGTGCAGATTAATAAAATATTTAAAGTAATTAAAGTAATTAAATTGCATATACTAAAGGATTCAAACTGTTAATCGCATATAACTAAAAAAAACATGTAACAATTAATAAACCACAGAGTCCTTGACATCACTATTTACATTCCTCAAGACAAAAACAAATGCAAGAATACGTGCCATTAAGCAACACGCAATCAACAACATTTTGTTTTAATTATCTTAGACCACAATTAATGATGGTTCTGCAGTTCATCTTTCTACTTTGATAGCTACTTAGACTATTTATGTAGATTAATTATTGATGTATTGGAATTCACTAATATATGTTTTTAACAAGCCTCTGCATAACACTGACATCAGTGAGGGGATCTGTTCACTCACCTTCCAGGTCCAGATTCTGTCAGGCTTACATGTTATTCTACATATCTGGGCAATTTGCCACAACTGATAAAGGCTGTGACATTATTGAAAAACTTCCTATCACCTGAGGATTTGCTACTCTTTGCATCTCTTGCCAAATTTAGATTCATGTGTGCACAGTCTTTCCTGATCCCATCTCTGCACATCTAGACATCATCCCTGTACTCTTTCCAGGCCACATATCCCTGCTTCCAGTGCCTGTATTTTTTCTTCTTTACCTCTGTTTGACCAGCAGTTCTTTCCTCAGCCATGTGGGCATCCTGCAGAGCAAGTCACTCCTAAAAAGCTTGTAGCCCTTGACTGCAGCATTCCAGTTGTGTGATTCATCCCACCACATTCCATGACAGCAATCAAGTCATCATTTTGTAACTGCACTGTGGTTTCCAACTCTTGCTTGTTTCCCGTTCTGCTCTGGTGTAGAGGCACTTCAGCTGGACTACTGGACACATTATCACTGGAGAGCTCTCCCTAACATCTTTGTGACAATTCATAGGTACTTCCCCATTGCTTCCTAAAGTGGCAGTGTTCCCTAGCTCTCCTCTGTCATTCAGATATACAACCTCTTCCCCAGCTGAATCTAGTTTAAAACTCTGCTAGTAAGTCCAGCCAGAGTGTTGCCAAGAACACGCTTGCCTCATAGATGCACCCCATCCAGTATCAACAAGGTCCTGAAGTTGCATTCAAGGTTATAGAACCTAACTTGAGTATAGGTGAGCTGTGAAACATTAGATTTATACTACATGGGAGATTCAGTGAGAATAAATAAATATGGCAGGGGGCAGAGTGGGCTTTTATGTGTGAAATTGTTGTATTTCTTACCTCCAGAGCTTTCAAACGCTCCAATAGCAATTTTGTCTTTTCTTTTTCCTCTTCAGTGCTGTTGCTTTCACTTCTTGAATCTTCATCTGCTGCTGTGTGATTTTTTTCCATGCCTTCTTTGCATTTCCTACTGTCTTCTGACAGTTTTTCCTGAAACAATTTTTTTTAATGTCATTACTCACAGGAAGAAATGAAGTTAACTATACAGCTATCTTCAGATCTCCCTTCATACAAACTAAAAAAAGACAGAGGAAGTTACTACTTATTGTACTTACTAAATGAAATCACGAAGGGCTTGTTAAATATGCTGCTAGGCCAATTCAACAAAAATGTATACAGAAATGAACTACTACACTTACATTACACTTAGACTACTAATCTCTTTTTAATAGAATAACTTGAATTTTCTTTAAAAGTTGCGATGAAAATTGAACATACTATCTTTCAATGGAAACACTGAGATACAAAGTAGTTTATTACTAAGGAAAAGCAAACATAATGGCTGATATATTTAACTTTTTCATCATCTTGAGCTAATATTTGATCTGCTAAATATTGGGCTAAAAACCAAATTATTATCCAAATGCTGATTTTAAGATCCACGCTAATATACAACTGACAGCAAAATTTTTGGAAGTGCCCTCACTTCTTATAGGACAGTCAGATTGGGTATTATTAGCTGCTGCTGTTTAATGGCTGTTAAGTTTTAAAAAATGTCTATAAAAATCCTAAGATTGAATGCTGAATCGCTCTAATACCATTAATTATACATCAAAGAGCAAGTAAAATATGAAGATTACAAGCAGAAAACAAAAATTCTATCTAAGCAAAAAAACATGTATTTTCACAAAGAACCAATCTAACTTGAATAACTGCAAATATCTGATAACTCTTCAAGAGCAAAACATTGTCTTAACCAAAATCCATAAACACAAATGAATTACAAATCAGCACTGTGAATCATGTTTAGCCTCATCTTTTTAAAAATTGAGCTAGATTAGAAATGGACTACTAGCATGTTAGAACTTAAATCAAAAATCAGTTTTACAAGTTATGGGCTCACTCAGTCCATATTCTGACACCAACCATGAGGCACAGAGCCTCAGAAAGTTTACTTCAAAGAGCCATTCCATCAGGTATCCGGCATTACTGTTGTCATGATCACAAAGGAACCATAAGTATAGTCATGTTTTATTCTTGCTTGCTACTCCCTGGCACAGTGATAGAGCATCTATAAAAGAGCCATTAAACCATTTTCCCTTCAAGTTATCTTGATGAGAGCATTTCAATGAACTCAAAACCTAATTTAACATAGGTACCTCTTTGTTGTATTTCAAACACAAACAGTTATTTTTAGGGGAGAGAGAGAGAGAGAGAGACGCATACTGGATGTGGCTCACATACATAGAAGAGACAGAAGAAAGTATAGCCTGTGATATTTCATCACAGAAGGGGGAGTACTGCAACTTCAATCAGAGTAAATCCCCAAAATCTATCACCTAAGGAAGTAACCCATTCATCTTCTAATTACAACATCTGATGAACTTGGCACAGTAGTGGCATATTCAAGAATAAATATCCTGTGATATCCTATGATGTGCACAAGAATATCTCTAAATATTTAATACTATTACCTCTGCTTGAATGTGTTAAGTACAGCTCACAATTTACTAACAAACCAGTGTATATCATGAACTCTATCCGGAAAAGCTGTAGAATAAATATAACTGGTGCTTAAAATCAAGTTAAGGGGAAGGTTTCAAAGGCTTTAGGTAGGACAGATTCCTGCTAATGTCAAAGAAAGCTGCTGCAAGGAGGAGGCAGAGAAGGGCAGAAGAGAGAATCTTCCAAGAGGAAATACAGATCTCCTATATGATGTCAATTAGTGAAAAATGGGATAAAACAGCTTGCTCTTTTTTTTCCCCTAGGTTCCTACACTGCTTGTGTTACCACTGTTTGAAACTTCTAAAACATCTCTGTTGTACGCCTCATGTACTGAACAATTAAATTCGGGCTGGATTTGCAAGCTGAAGAGTAATATACTCTCAGGTCAGACGTACAGAAAGGCAGAGCAAATGCTATCCTGCTGATCAATGCAGTTTCATTTCTATGAAGAGGTTCCAGGTAGAAACTGTGCTCTGGCAGTAAGCTGGGCAGCAAAAATAATAGCAATGAAAGACAAACCACAGCCCCACTCTTGATCTCCCCAGAGCAATTAGAATTCAAGACTCAAGCCTATACTGATATGTGAACAGCCTGATGAGAATTCTACAGTAAAGCTTCATTGACATCTCTAATGTCAACAAAGAGACAATAAGAATATGAAATATTCAAATCTTTCTATAAGGAAACCAGGATTATGCTCCTCACTGCAGACCTGTTCCCACTGAAATTAATGAGAAACTTACTATCTAATCCCATCTTGCAGAAGCTCCTCAAGCTGGTTTACACTGTTGCAGCTTTCCTGAAACCAACAGTATGGTGCAAATCTACAATGACATCCTACCCTGACCATTATTTCTATATACTCAGTTTGCTCTATAAATCAAACAAATAGTATACTGACGAAGAACCCTTTGATCAAACACTGCAGGTTCTACAGCCAATAGAAAACAACAGATGAAAACACAGCTGGCATCCTGGAAATGGCAAGCTTTCTAGAATCAATGGGAAGATATAAATCACTGAAGACATTGATCTATGAAGCCATACAATGCAGCGACCTGACTGAGACTCATTACAAAGTTGGCTTTCAGTTAGTTGAAGTAGAAAATAACAATAAATTAAGAGAGCAGGGAATAATAATTTTCCTGGAGTATGTAGGAATATAAACGTTTAAAGCCAGTCTTGCCCACCTTTGAGAGCACTGGACAAGGAAGTGTTTCCACTTTTTATAAATAAAGGAATGACCACAGTGATAGGAAAGATCATATGGAAACTTGCAAAAAGATGAAAGACACCAAACTAGTTATTTTAGAAACCACCACCTCCTTTTTACCAGATAGGCAATAAGCTCAGCCTTTGGACTCAGCATTACTCACTGGGAGCTGAGTTCAGCGTCCTTCCTTCGAGAAGTCATCTTTCCAAGGAACAGACAAATGTTGAAGGGATGCTTAGCCAGCTATTTGTTACCTACTGCCACCTCAAAACTGTACTTTTAAAGTTTCATTGGTAATATCTTGGCTTGCCATTCCTTCCCTTTCTTCATTCTTAAGTTGCTATTTAGGAATTACAGCATACACACTTGCAAAGGTGGAAAAAATGAATTCTGTTTAAAATATTTCAATTTAATCTACAAAGTGTCAAAACAAAAAGGCTAGAAGTCTGATGATGCAAAGAATAATTAAAGAAAAAGCTCAAAAGAAATCTGTTCTAGATTTCCTTTTGTACAATGAAAAAATGATCAGGCTTTAATTGGAATAAGGGCTCTTCTCTAGTAGTAATGACAAACACATTTTGTGAAATGATCACATAGCTCCTCAGGCACCTCACATTCCAATTTTTCCTAATTTGCAATTTTACAATGCAGGAATCACCTATACAAATTAAAAACCTTTAAGAAAACAGAAATCTTTAACACTGTTAACCAAGCTGCCACAAGAGGAGATCTCACTGAACACATGAAAAAAAACAAGCAGCTGCAGCACAGCCTATGCTATAGCTGCCAGCATGAGAAATGGAAAGCCTCTCATGAGGAAGGAAGGACCTCATGCACCAACACAGGCCCAGAAACAACTGCACAGAAAGGCATCTGATAGTAGGGAGCAGAGAAGACAGAGGCAAGGCTTTTCTTGGAAGTTGCTTGTTGAGAAGATCTTTTTGAACACGTTAGAACATGATCAAGATCTTTTTTTAACATGAAGGTTGATAAATGGTCACTGGAACAGGTTATCCAGAGGGTGGTGAATCAGAGACATCACAAAGTTCACTGGAGAAGTGGCTGCAGTAATATAACATGTTATAAATGAATCTGTACTTTACAGTACTGATTTAAACAGCAATATCTCCCAAGGTCACGTCACAAAATTCTGCTTGAGCCAAACAAGAATTTTAAAACGATTGAGATCTTTGAGATGCTGATTTTCTCAATGAGCATTTGATGATGACTTGTTTGTCTGGAAGTTGACAAGTAATAATTAGAAATGGCATCCTTACTTACAGAAGCTAAAGATCATGCTCCTATGATTAACACAAATTCCTCCACAGAAGTGTAGCATTTTGGATGCAATATAGTAAAGATCTCTCAAACTATCTCTGTACCCATTTACAATGTCAGATTGTGATGCTAGAGTTCATTTTTTCTTTTTAAATTCCTTTTAATTCTTCAACTTCTGAAACGTATATGTATATATATTGTATATTGTACATATATGACTTCATAAGGGTTACAAATTCTAATTATTCTGATTAATGCCTGCATTTTTCCAAATAGCACACTAAAGTCACACACACACAAGAAAAAATATATGTAAAACACATATTAACTTAGTGCTTATGATTGCTTAGAAACTTCAGAAAAAACTGAGCATTTTTTGCAGATTATGTAGTCAGTGGAAGCATGCATCCCAGAATCCAGCCAGTGTGGAGCCCAAGCTCAGTGCTTCAAACCATTTAGCACTTCCCATGAACATGTCTCAGAAGCTTCCCCGAGCCTTTCAAAAAAAGGTAGGCACTGTACAGTGTCTTGGATTTCACTAACTCAATTGGTAATCCAGGTAGATTCCTTTAGTTATACTTTTAACACTTTTCCTGCTGTCACAAAGGTATGCTGTTAACCTCCAAAACCTGAGCTGCAATTTACAAAACCATATACAGAACTGTGTATGTGATAATAAATTCTAAATTTTGTTTCTTGCAAGGCCATTCTATAGTCTTGATATATTCATAGACTATGTACTCAGTGTATTTTCACTGCAGACCTCCTAGTGTTCAGCACTATTCTTCATTGCAAGTGAGCGATATGAAAAGAGAATGTTCAGACTGCCAATGTAGATAAAAATAGTAGATGAGAGTTTCTTTGTACTTGCACAAAAAAACAGCCCCAAGCTATGCACAATGAGCTCAAACAATTCGACTGCACAAACTGAAAAAAGGCAGCAAATGCTCCAAGGACTACTGACTTAAAATTCTAAAAAGGTTTAAAATGTTTT